CAAGGCCATCTACCCTTTCTCTTTTTAATAGCTCAAAGATGTTCTGTAGGAACATACCGTTGATTGCTTAAACAGTTCTCTACTTTGAGGAGTATAGGGTGTCTTCTTGGCCTTGTCAATGCTCTGAACCCATTCTTGTCAACAGATCTTTGTGTACTTGTCTTTCTGCAGGGTACATTCCAAAAGTGAAATAACTGGGTGGAAGCACACATATGTTTAAACTTTTGCTGGTACTGCTAAGTAGCCTTCCACAAATTCTGTCTCATTTATGCTTTCACTCACAGGGCATGAGTGCCCTCTCCCACTATTTAGAAATTACTGAAGTTTAGCCCTTCTGCCAATCTCACAGTTGACAAATAGCATCTCATTTAATGTACATCTCCCTGATTTCTATTTTGAAATAGGTTAGTACCCATTTTTATTTCATCTCCCGCGAATTACCCATTTATACCCTTCACTTGTTCTTCTAGTGCATCTGGAAGGGTCACACATTCCCTTCACTTCTGTCGGCTTATATAGCCATCAAAGGAAAATGGCTTTTTAAAGCATCCCCTGGCTGTCGCCAGCAGGCCCTGAGGCATGTCCAAGAAGTCAGAGAAGGAACCTGAGATAGCTAAATGGCTGTGAATTTGGGGTTGGAAAGGGAAAGGGAGTGAAGAGGAAAAGCTGTACGGGGGCAGGGGAGGAACTGAGGGGGAATGAGGTCAGTGGAAATTCCAGGTGGCAAGGGTGATGGGAGATGGGTAGCAACACGATGTAGACTATTCAGCTATAAGTCTATACAACCCCACGCATTCAGTGTGTCCCAACTTCTGTAGAAATCAAGTTAGGGGAGCTGAATTCCATGTCAGGGGATGGGGGATGGGGTGCACAGTGATCTGAGATGCTGGAGGGTTCAGTGGGGTGAGGCCTGGAAATGCTCACATGGGTTCATCTGGGGACCCACCACAGGGCTCAGGATGGCCCTGAAGCCAGTGCCCTTGTCTGCTCCTTGACAACCACACCGGACCAATTGATCCTCAGAGGGATTGCACTTCAGTGTTCAAAACAGAGTTCCTCACAATTGGGTCAGAAGACAATTACTCTGGGGTCTGTTGACAATTTTTCCCCTTTAAATGAGATTAGTATTTCATTTACATTTGAGAAAACTTGTCCTATACTTTAAATAAGATTCGTGAATGAGCATAAAGTACTGTTAAGACCTTTTATTGTCTGTGACAAGCCAATGATGATAATTTTTACCTAGTTTTTCTAATATGTCAGAATTTCCATAAGGAAATTCTTTATTTTTTATGTATGTGCAGTCCTCACTAATTCAGGCTGACCTGTCCTGAACTTAGTCTGAAGTGCTATGGGTTTACTGTCCTGTCAAAGCTTAGAAGACGGAAGTTGTCTGCCCGCCACACCTGCAGTCTCACCTGGGGGATTAGTTATCTACGCAGCTAGGAAGTGAAGCAGTTTCAGGATAGAAAGAGTAGTAAACAAGGTAAATTACTAATGATCTACAAGTAGGGAAGAGCTCTCAGGCATGTGGCAGTCATGTCTTCCTATTAGGATCTCCATTGGAAAGCCCACACATACAGGTTTTTTGGCTATTACTCTGAGCCTGGTACTGTGTAAAGCACCAGACAAAAATGGAAATGTGTCTACATTGGAGGAGACAGAGGTGTAAACTAATGAACAGAGCATGCAAGGGCTTCAGGAGACCTGAGAGACAATTCAAACACTGGCTGGGAGGCCAGGAAAGCCTCCTGCAGGAGGAGAGACTTTCACCAGGTTCCAGAGGGAAGAGGATTTCTAAGCCAGGAGGACAGCAAAGGCAGGAACAAGGCCTGCAATTCTACACAAGGTGACTTGTGCAGCAAAGAAATACTAGGTTTGGGACACTCATGCTATGACTCGTTTTTCCTATGCTCAAAAACATGATGGGGGTAGCCAGAAAGTCACATCACCTACATTTTTCCCCTCCTGTTACAAATATTTCTCTGTTGGTTCTCCACCCTGACAGAGGAAACAAATCTCTAATGAAAAAGCAATGGCTATTTCTAGATTTTAACTTCGTGGTGTGGGGAAGGGTGATATGGACACCTGATACGGGCACCCGGGGAGACGCGAAGTTTACGTCTGTTTATCCACAAATGACACACTGCCATGAATCTAAGACACACTTGGAAGTCACTGTGAATGCACTGGAAGTTGAGTTAAATAAGCCACAGATTCTCTTGTGGTTTCTCAAACATCTCTTTCTTTAATCACAAACTTATTTTCATCTTCCACTCATTATAAATAATCCACTTCATTGCTTAGCCTCCCTTTTGAAAAAATTTGGTATTTAGCATAAACACTGAACATTAACCAGAGGTGTGTTGGTGTGTTAGTTTAAAACAGAATAGGGAAAAATTTTTTAAAAATGCACAAAATTTTAAGACTTAGAAAGAACATGTTTAAAGAGCAACATTATCATCCCTTAAAAAAGTCAAGTTTCTTGACAATCATTTAAAAAAAAATCACATGGAAAAATGAGTAAACATAAATATAATCTAATGTATTTCTTTTATAAATACATTGAACAAAATAAATGGATAAAACAGATAGCTTTATAGTGCATAAATACAGTATTCTAAGCTATGCATAATTAAATCCCAATAAGCCTGAATTAAAACAAAATTTGATTTTATTTTTTGATCTTTATGGAAAAATACGCTATAGCATTTGTGTGAAAAAAAAATAGCCATAAACATATCCCTAGAGCCACCAAAATTCTCTCTGTAAAGGTTATTAGAAAACAAAACACATTTTTAAAGCAAAAGCTAAAATGTTACCTAGAATTTTCAGTTGAATTTTATCCCATAGTTACACCTATTGTAGGTGTTAGACAATAGAGGTAGATAAGTTGAAGGGGAAATAAGTATGCAACTAAAAAGGGAGAAAGATTTTTATGATAGCTTAGACAGATAGACATTTCCACTTACTCTAAAACTCAAAGAAGCTTGTAGGAACAAAACAAGAAAACCTTTCTGTGCTCCGTAGGCAAGCATCAAACATATCAGGCAAAATTACTGTCATTTGAGACACAGTAATTCTTGTTAACAGTGAACACTACAGCCCAGTTTAGCATAGGTTTTTGCAGGGTCTAGCTCTACTTAGAATGCTTGTGGAATTTATAAGGTTCAATGAGACTGAAATGAGTTAGAAGTAACAAAAGATGAACGTGGCAGTAACAGTAATATAACTTTACATTACTGATAATTTCAGTAAGTTTTGAAGGAATGATTTTTTGTTGTTGTTGCAGGCAAAACAACAAAGACCACTGCTGAGGATACAGAGTGTCCCCGGTGAGAACCAGGAGGCTGATATTATCTGTCAAATCAAGAAAGGACATGTAGAGACAGTGACAAGACGCAGTACAGAAAGCACAGAAAGTGTCCCCTAACTCAACATATTGCTTTGTTCTGTATTTGGGTCCAGCTGAAGTTCTTCCAGCCATGGGAAAAGCAAACATTGGATACTCCTCTAAAAGCTGATGCTCAATTCAAGACTAATTAGGCTTGATATTTTGGTTAATTAACGGTCTTGCATTTTCTGTGCCCACTTTTCTTTCCACCTGGCTGGAAAGCGTGTGTATATGTAACATTTGTTTGCATCTGTGACCTTTAAATTTTCACTGATTCCTAAGAACAAAATGATAGAACTTTTTCTTTTGGGGGGGCAGTACTGGGGTTTGAACTTAGGGCCTTGCATTTGCTAGGCAGGCGCTCTACCATTTGAGTCAGACCCCAACCCCCAATCCTTTTTGCTGTAGGAAATCTTCAAACAGAGTCTAACATTTATACCCAGGGCTGGCCTGAGCACCAATCCTATTTATTCCTGAATAACTGGGATGATAGGCATGCTACCACCCTATTGGCTGAAATGGGATCTTGCTTACTTATGTCTTGGCTGGCTTCATCTTCGATCCTCGCAATCTTTGCCTACATACATGATCCACTGCTCCCAGCTTGATTGATTTAACTTTTTTTTTTTGTGGCACTGAGACTTGAACTCAGGACTTCATGCTTGCTAGGCAGTCACTCAACAGCTTGAGCCACTATGGCAGCCCTTGACTTAACTTTCTAAAAGATGTTACAAACATTTCTCAAATATGCGAAGTATATTCTCATTGATAAATTGTCTCAAATGCTTGAAGTGTGCTTAATTCAAGGATGTAACAGGCTGCTTCTCACCAAAAGGGGTGATTTGGAAAGCATTCAGCACATCTGTGTAAAAGGAAAAGAATTTTGGTCTCAATTGTGGAATGTGAATACGATGCAGTATTAATTGTTGTTGCTTTTAAACTGACTGTAACATTTTTGTGTCTCACATTTGGCTGTTATGAGCATGCAAGTATGTTGGGAAAAAGGTAAGAAAGAAGTTACGGAAGAAGGAAGAAAAATATTGAGATATAATTAAAAAACTGAAAACCAAATCCTCAATATTTCACGCACTTCACTCATAACTCAACCATCAGGCCCTTTCTTTGAAGCAACTCATAATAAATTTAAGACACTACACCACAATCTTTTATGATGGGACTGAAGACTTTCTGTGTGGAAGCTATTTGAAGGAATGTCTAAAAAACCCCTGATGTCAAGGAATGCAGAGCAATCTTGCTCTTTTTAGCATCTATTCGATCTGTGGCTCCTGCTGAGTTGATAGGGAGGAGGCATGTCACAGTAGTAGAGAAAAAAAAAATCACACAGTGAATCAAAGTGAGTGTGAATACGACTTTGGGATTGTCACTGTCATCAGAAGGGCATTTTCCTGACGGTGTGACCTCATTTCAAACATTACAGTAACTATTACAGAGTTGTACTGCACAAAAGGTGGTACAGGGAAAAGACGGTAGCTTTTTGTCCCTTACTATGACTGTTTTCTGCATTAGGAAAAAAAAACTAATTCCAAAATATTGTACCACCCTGCCAGTAACCAACAGAGTATGTTTTGGAAATAATGCTCTCATTGAATACATTTTAAGGCACTTAAACAGGTATATCATATTTTTTCTGTAAAAAAATAAAATATGCATCAAAGCAACATTCACAAATACAAGTCTTCAGAATTGCTTGTATGTACAATCCTGTACACATGTATATATACACCACTATGGAACAGGTGCCTCCTCCGTTATACTGTCGGCCTCGTCAGCTTCACTCCCTACAAGAAAGGAGAACATGTTCAGAGTTGGACAGTAGCCATGAGCAAAGTGAAAGCATCAATTAACAGCAGATTGTTTATGCTGCTAGAAGGAAGAGGAGGCTCATTGCTATAGTTTGGATCTGGAAAGTTGAAACTCCAAAGTTGAAGGCTTGGTCCCCAGCTTGGTACTATTGAGAGGTGGTAGAGACTTTAAGAGGTGGGGCCTATTGGGAGGTCTTTAGGTTATTGGGAGTATCCTTGAATGGGATTATAGGATCTTGGTCTCTTCCTCTCTCACCCTCTTTTTTTTTTTTTTTTATTTCCCAGCCATAGTTAAGGGGTTTGCTTTACTCCATGTTCACTGCATGATGTGCTACTCTTTATAGGCCCCAAAACAACAGGGCCAGCTGATCATGGATTGAAACCTCTCCAACTGCTTGAAGAGGTTTCAATAAACCTTTCTTCTTCATAAATTGATTGTCTCAGGTATATTGTTGTAGTAATGGAAAGCTGACTGACACACCTACCTACCCAGATGCACTGTGTAACCAACAATCCAAACCTCTGGAAACAGATTTACCCACCCACCTCACTGGCCAGCACAGTTTCTGTCATCTCCCCCCAGCTTGGCCTGGCTATTCATACAGCTCTGTTCTGTACTAGGTGGTGGCCTGGGGGTCCCATGAGTAGTGTTTGGAAAGCAGATACTCATGGACACCCTGAGAATGCAATCTTTGTATTCTACATCTTCCTGAATATTCTAAGTTAGCCAGTGTTTTTGTACAAAGGGAAAATGAACAGCATGGTCCAGTTTAGTCCCCCTTTTAGAAAATGCTTCTGTTACTCTGGAGCATCACTCTCAGAGTTTTGAAACATTTAGAGAAAAACCCACTGACTAATTTGCTGTTTAATGAGACTGCACGTTCTTGGTAAGAGTATTAGAATTTTCAGTATAAATTCTGAGTGGCAATGCAAATACACATTGATAAACAAGCACAAATATAAAACAGAATTTTCAAAGGAGATGTGCAGTACAAAAACAAAAGAAAAAGATAGTCAACTACTCCTCTGCTAACCCTGAGTAGGAGGCTCAGAGCCTGGGGCAGTCCCTGACATACAACAGCAATCATTCATCTTTTGTTAAATTACTGAATTAATGAATCTATTGGATGGGCTAAACTTCCAAGGTAGGATCCTGGGGGCCCAGGTGAGCTTTAAGAAAGTAATACTATATTTTTATCTGGAGTGTCATTGTGGTGTTGGGGAAAGATAAGGGAGGCCAAACACACCAGGGTTCCTCAGTCCTAAATCTAGTATTTCATTTTACACACAGAACCTTGGGTAAATTGTCCAACTCTGAGCTTATTCTCTAACCTATAAAATGGTCTGCTATCAACCTGGTTGTAGCTAAGCTCTTAGCCCAAGATCAATCCTCCAAATCTAGTAGAGAATTGGACCTGCCTTGCATATAGCTCAGTGGGTGGTACTGTGGCCACTCCATTTTTAGGACACTAGGGACACAACAGATGGTAATTTGTCACTTGACATCTCTTCTTCCCACACATGGTCATTGCCTTACATTAGACAGAATGAAGCCCTGGCAGGTGCAGGCCATGGGGAGACATCTGCTCCACTGGTACCGCCATGTTCTATGCACCATCTAAACTTTATCAGTCACAGGTTTGCTTTATTTTGGTTGGCAATTTAGGAAATCAAGTCCAAAAGACCTAATAGGTCACACGACTCCACCTTAAGTGTGGTGAAATTAATACTGTATGGACTTCTTTACTACTTTTATTTTTTGATTTCCTGTAGTGCCATACAAAGAGGTTAATAAATATTTAGGAAATTAAAAAGAAAGTTGGTGTTGCAGAACAACTCAGGTTCTGCCATTTTAAGAGAGGCAGGTGAAATAGGGACAAGATGAAAGATCGTTTAGAACATGGGTGATATGTACAAGAAGGGGGTTTCATATCTTAATACCCTAAGCAATATAACTTCCAATAGGAATAAATTAAAAAGACACTTCATTTTAGATGTAATTATCTTCTATAACAATTAAAACACTTAGCACCCAATGTTCCTGTTCAAGCTGAAGGAACAAGAGCCATTGTTATTGTGTGTAGTTAAGAAAATATGAACTTGACAGCTATGATGTGTTAGCCAGGGCCAAAGTGTACCAACAGTTCAGACCCAGCAACAACATGTCAATCTACCCTGGATCCAAATCAGACCTTCCCAGAGCCTCACCTTCTGCCTCGACACCATCCAAGACTTTATCGTTGGCACCAACACACTTCCCAGAAGGATCTGAGCTGGGTGGTAGATGAGCAAGGGCACAGATATTAATGAGAGATGCTCATGGCCTGCAAACACTATCTTTAGCATCGGAATTCCTGTTGAACAAAGAAGACAGAAAACCCAGAAGCAAAGTCAGGCTGTCAGCAAATTAAAGGTCTGCTCCATTAGAACCACAACTTTGGAATAGGGTATTACCACATTTCCCCATGTGCGTTCACAGCACTGAAATGGAAAGGTTTCAAAAGAGCCAACAATTCTTTCTTTCTTTACTACATAAACCTCTGAGCTCCAAGTAGAATGGATAAAGTGAAAAGGTGGCCAGTGTTTCAGGGCACCCATAACTCTCACTGGAAATTAGCAGCCCACCTGCCAAGGGGAGGAAAGAAGACGGTTTGTAATGGAGGTGCTTTAGGAAGGCTGGAGAATACTGGCTACAGGTTAAAATGGATCCCCTCTTGCTCAGTGGTAAGACAGTCTGTTGGTTTTTAGGAAGACCAGCATGTCACTGTTGCAAAGCCCCAAAGCTCACTTTTGGGAGCTGAAAGGAAATGGGAAGATGATGTGTGACATACACTGGAGGCTTTGCATGGTCTCTGTCTCTCCTCTCTCCCCCCTTCTCTCTCCAGTACTGGAGATCAAACCCAGGACCTAAGAGTATGCTAAGCACATGCTGACACTGAGCTATACCCCAGCCCTGCATGTTTCCTTTTGGCCGAGGACCTTGCTTTACAAACATGGAGCAAAGCACATGTAGTTTTGTGTGTGGCAAATGACTGGTAAGATCAGTGCTGAATGTTTAAACCTCACAGTGAAGGGCTTACTGGAACCCAGATAAATGAATACTACTTCATGGACCTCTCATTGTACTCTAAAAGGGCAGCTGTACAAATTTCCCATGTGGTTGCCATAGAACATACCTTCTGAATAAGGTCTGTACCAAGCTTTTGCAACTGAAGAGCTTAAAGGGCTCAGCTCTCTTCTTGTTTTTCTGAGAACAGCCTACACACATCCAGTGACGGCACATAAATAACTTTTTATTATACACAAGGAAGGCTCAGCTTTTTCAATTATTTTTACCACCTAATAAATTTCGAACCTTTATGCAAAAATGTATTTCATGGCTGCTTTCTTTTCCACAGGCTTACTTATCATTGTCATAAACTGAAAACACTTAACCCTTCCCAACTCTCTCTCTCTCTTTCAGCTTGCAAAGTACACATTTAGATATTTTCTGTCTTTAATATCCATCTTCACACCAATATGAAAAAAAAAAATAACAGCTTTCTTTTTTCTTAAATGAAAAGCCGAATATCCTTATTGTTAAAAAGTAGCAGCTGATACTTAGTCTTGTAGCTGAAACTTATTATTATGAGAAAATATTAAGACCTGAACAGAACTTCCATTTGCAAGAAAAACACTTTATTCTTTGACCCAAAAGGATGGTGCTAAGATACTGGAAGATGGGGGTAGTTTGCAGAGGTCCCCTGTCCCTGGAGAGGCTTCTTGGATGGTGCTCAGTGAAATGAGATCCAAAAAGGAGGGTTGTTGGGGTGGAGCAAAAGTGAGGCTAAAGGGAGCAAAAGATAGAAGTGTGGAAACATTTTGTCCTGAAAGATAATCAGGGTCGGGTCTTCTGATCCCAAATTCCAAGCCTATGGCTGCAAGGCCAAGTCACCTGGGCTTCTCTTTTATGGCTGAGAATGGGGGCCCTGTGTCATTCTCTAGCAAGCTGAAACAGGTTCAGAAGAGAAGCCAGATTTTGCTGTTGTGCTAAGTAAACAAAACACTACACCATATACAAGACATCCAAGTGTAAGCAACACCAGAGATACACTTAGATGTGATAAAGTGGATACACAGGCAGCAAAGACGGTGACAATCACGATGAGTATATGCCGAGTACTTACTGTGTCCTGTTCTCTCCAGTGCTTTTCTATACTGACTAAGCTAAGCCTCCCAATCACATGGAAGCTATTATTTTCACCATTTTCCTGAGGAGGAGGCAGAAGCCACAAGGAGCCTTCTCTAGGGGAAGTCCAGCCTGCAATGGGGCCACTGCCCCTCCAGTTCTGTGCCTTTGGCAAGGGTGGTTCAAGATGCTGATGCTGTGGGTGCTGCAGCTAGAGAAGCAGCAAGGGCCTGGTGTGCAAAAGCTTTTTAGTGCAGTCCAACCTCTGGGGTGAACTCACCCCCTTCATGCCCTTCCGGAGGTTCCTCCAAGGCAGCAAGCCTGGTCAAACTCCCAGCTCCCCACACCAGGATGCAACTGGAATTTCACATGAGAGAAAAGCAAAGCAACTGCTAGGACCACCCCAACAGAGCCAAGGGAACCTTGGCTACAAAGACAGACAAATCTTGACCTTCAAGAGGCTTCTGGTGTGCCAGGGGCCTCTACCTTCTTTGGACCCTAACACCAAATTGTCAGAAACTGTTTTCCAATCTGGTGCTGGAAGGTTCCTCAACTCTCATCTCTCATCTTCAAATATAGCCTGTATCCTCAGAGACTCTGGAAACATCAGCTTTCTGGGCCAGGCAAGGGCAGGAGGGGCTTCCTTCTGGCTGCTTGGGCTTCCTGCCAGGAGCAGCACCTTAGGGTGGCATCTGGCTCCTACCTGTGGCTTGCTGTACCCCTCAGAGCCACCAGCCCCAGTGGAACAGCACCCCTCCTCTGGGGTCTGCCTTGCTCTGTGGCTTCTCCTTGAAGTGTGTAAGTTCTGAGAACCCCAACTACCTCCTTTGCCCCCCAGCTCCACTGGTTCCTGCAGCCTTTATTCCTGGGTCTCCTTATGGCCCCTTTTCCCTTTTCAGTTTTCCAACCCTGCTGAATCGATTCCCTGTAGTGAAAGGATGGATGCGGTTTTCCTGTTGGACCCTGGTGGCTTTTTTTGTACTGTGTCTTGTATGACAGTCAATGACCTGACTTGAAAGAGAAGGAATCCATGATGACCTGCAGCTGGGCAGACATTTGTCAAATTAAACAGGAATTTCTCTTCACCACTTGATGTGGTGGCAATACCTTCTTGCTAGTTATTAATCAAATTTCCTATCTCTAACTCTCCAAGTGACTAATGTTAAAAATATGATTGGAAATAACGGATCAGAGAAAAAAAAGCTTAGTGTTCAGAGCCTGGGCCCAAGGCTGTTCTGCACGTCCTCTGTGTGTCACTTCATAAGGTGGATTCACAAGTCATCCCTCGGTGGGGGCAGGGGCATGTCAGCAATTCAAGTCATATGTTGTTTATTTGGGAACCTTTATTTTCCTTTGATCTTAAAGTCTACCTTATTTCTCAGTCACTCACTTATCTGCTTTCCTTTGCAATTATTGGTTTCAACTTTCTACCTTCCTTTTCAGTTATTAGATTTTCTTCTCAATTAATACATCTCGATGTTGCTTCCTTTCCCTCCAAGTCTCCAAGAGTATCCATTCAGTGTGCTGTCCTGTTCTGCAAGGTCAGAGTAGAAAGAGAAGGTGGGAGAAACACAGGGTCCATATGATGGTGGCAATCCTTTAGAAGCTGTGAGTTTCCTATCTGTTCTAGGACATCTTTGCCATGTTTCCATGGCAAATACCTGAACAACTGGAAATTCAATAGAGAGAGGCTGTGGGTCTTCCAAAAGCCATCACACTCACTGTACTGTGATTTTTGTCACCTGGCCATGAATTTGATTTTCAAGTCAAATCAGAGAAAATCCATTGTGTCTCTTACTCCAGTAGTCTATGTGCTACACCCCTCTCCTCTTCACTCACACTCGTTCATAGCTTGCTCCATCACTTGTTCATTCATTTTATACACACTCATGTAGCTGTAACCTACCAGGAAGTAGGCAGTAACGTGACTCTGTGTTATGGTTTGGATCTTAAATGTCCAAAGGCCATGTGTTAAAGGCTTGGTCACCACCTGTGGCTCTATTTAAGAGATGGGGCCTAGCAGGAGGAAGCTAGGTCACTGTCCATGCCCCTGAAGGGGATATTGAGACCCCCAGCCCCTTCATCTCGCTATTTTTTCTTCCTGGCTACCGTGACATGAACAGACCACCTCCACCCACGTACTCCCACCATAGTGTGCAGTCTCAGCACAGACCCAAAGCGACAGGGACAAAGGATCATGGGCTGAAACCTCTGAAACTGTGAGCCAAAACAAACCTTTTCCCTTTAACAGTTGACTATTTCAGGTATTTGTCACAATGACAGAAAGCTAACATACCCTTCATTTAAGAAACCTACTGGGCACACTGTCCTCATTCCCACTGTCCTCATTACCTTCCTTCAGGGGACGGTCACCTGTCCCGTACCTCCCGCTTCCCATAATGTCTGCAAACTAGCCTCTGCCTTTGGGCTTGTCCTGTCCAAGTTCTTTTCTTCTGAGACCAGAGTGCATGTTCTAAACTGCAAATGTGATTAAGTCAAATCATGCGGGAGTTTAAAAATGGGAGTGACTCCTAAGTATGGCGGACAAGGACTTCATGACCTGGACCCAACTCTTGCTCTTTTTCCCTGTAAATCTCACCATCCCTCCGCCCTTTGACCCCTGCACTCTGGCCAAAGCGAGCATCTGGTTTTTCTCCCCCTTCCACTTTTGTGCATGCACCATGCTCTGTCCAGCCTCTAGGCCTTTGCACCTGAGCTCCCTTTGCCACGAAGGCCCATCTCCACTTCCTGGCTTGCTCTGCTCCTCTGTGTTATTCATCCATCCATTCACATATTCATTTTGAAATACTGGGGACTGAACTCAGGGTCTTACACTTGCTAGGCAAGGATTCTACCACTTGAGCCACACCCCCATCCCTTTTTTTACTCTTTAGACAGGGTTTTGAGCTTTTTCCCAGACTCTCTTACTTTTACCTCCCTATTGTTGGGACTACAGATGTTGCACCACTATGCCGGGCGTTTTTTGTGGAGATAAGTTCTCACTAATGTTTTTTGCCCAAACTGGCTGGCCTCAAACTGTGATCCTCCCATCTCTGTCTCCCGAGTAGCTGGGATTATAGGCATCCACTACCATGCTTGGCCTCCTGTGTGTCCCTTAGCCCTCTGTTCTTTGGCTGCTTCCTCTGGAAAGCAATCCTAAAGTCTTGAGGCTGGCTGATAGATCTT